GGGAAAGTAGATACATGGCAAGAGTGAGTCAGAAGTGTCAAGACTGGTTCAAAACATTTCAAAATGTCATGCTCACAAGATATTAAGGGAAGCTTCTAAAGCCATCATGAAGAGGTCTTGATTAATATCAGAGCTAGAATCCATAGTACACACATGTTAGACATTGACTTAGAAATGTAATTTCCCTCATGTCTAACACACCTAGGAATTTCAGCTGTGAAGGCTACAATGGGGTTAGCATGAAGCCATTTTCTCGAACTTTGAAAGAGTTTGTTGACTAAACAAATTACTAGACAGTAGTGCAAACTTACAGTAAATGCTGAACGAGATGCAGCACTTGAGATATTAAAAACCAGTCTAGCACCAAGCAATTCCCAAAGTCTAATACCATAAACAAACAAACCAAAATGAAAAACACAAAAAAAAAAGAGAGAGGAGAGAAGGGAAGAGAGGGAGGGGAGGAAAGAGCAGGAGCGTAGAGGAGGGGAGGTGACACACTATACTGCAATCAAAGTCACAAATGCCTGACACCCTGGATAAGTAAAAATAACATCTTCATTTCCTGAAACTACACATAGTTGAGATGTGAGTTCAGACCAGCAATTTCAAAGATGAGAACATTCTACCTGTTACAGCATTCATGGAAACATCACACTCCAACATGTTGGGGACTGCATACCATCAGAGCACTTTTGAAAAGAAGCCACCCTAAAGAGTACACTGCTTTTTTGATCCTGCCAACAGTCCACAACATATACGCCCAGGAGTATTTTTACACACTCTCAGAACAAAAGCCTCTTCTACAGCTCTCATCAGCTACGCTAATGAATTCTCCTCATCTCCCTCACAACAAACACATGGTGAAACTTTACTCCAAAAGAAGAGGTTCATTTACATACCTCACCGAAGGGCTCCAGGAATTAGACTTTTTGCAGTGCTTTGAAGGCATAGCAAACTGAGACTTGAAGTTTTCCCAGGCTGAAATACATATCTGATCTCTCTGTTTTTCTGCAGCACTTCCAGGTGTTCTTGAGTGGCTTAATTCTACTCTTTCTGAAATCAGTGGAAATTACTTCTGGGGATCACCAAAGTCAACATTAACTGCCTTGAAAAAGCTTTGGACCAAGTTTACAACAACATCAACTTTGCTCCCAGCCATAATCAGTTCCCTATCCCCTGTAAGTGCAAGAAAGCCACTGTAAAAAAAACCAAAACAACAAAACAAAGCAAGAACAGATTTTAAATGTATTCAACCTTGCACCGTTTCCTTCTGTAAAGCAATCCAGGTTTTGTAAACTAAATGCATATTCTAATTGTGAGATGTTTGCATTTTCAATACATTAAAAGTGTATTAAACAGAAACGACGATTAAGAAAAAAGATCTCGTTTGTACAACTGTTAATTCACTGATTTAGAATTCTGGAGAGTCTTACACGCAGAATTAGACAGCATTTAGTTTTTAAACTAAATTTCTTGGCCTAGCAAAATGAAAGCTGATGTTAATGACTTCTAGGCAGGTACTTCCACAACTTCAAAATAGTCATTTGGTAGAACCACGTATCCTTTTCCTGCCAATATGTCTTTTTCTTTCTGAAACTGAACGATCTCTCTCAGTTTTTCAATCTGTCTTTCCTGACGCCGGCATCGCTGTTGCGCTGTCTTGAGCTTCTTCCGCAGTTTTTCAACTTGTTCCTCCAGCTGCTGAATCCTTTTCCGCTGATGAACTGTATCCTCTACGGTATAGTTGTGATCACAAAAAACGGCAAGATTGCTGGGGGTTTGGAGAGGAGGCATCAATAATCCAATACTTGGATCTACAAACCTGGCATCTATTTGAGATAAATGAAAAGAAGGAGTCGATGGAGATGGCGGTAGGGCTGGAGCTGCTGGTGGAGGTGGTGGTGGCGGTGGTGGTGGCGGCGGTGGAGGGGGAGGCGGTGGTAGTGGATCTTCTGGCTGCTCTGCAAGCTCTTCAGCCTAGAAACAAGAGGGAAAAAAAAAAGGTACATTTTCATGCTAACCATTTTTTACAAAACAACTCCCCTACCACAGCTGGAGGATAGCATAAACAACCAGGATTTATGTTAATAACATAAAAATTAAAGCCTACATTTTCATAACTGACAAACAGTTCTGGGCCTGTTTTGTCTGCCTTCTAAATTAGAGACAGATTCATTTTGAGGGACCTTTGAAACAAGTCCTTGATGTCTCTCATAAATAAAATACTGAAGAACACAGAAATTACTCACAATTGAAGACTTAGGTCAAATAAATATCCAACGCTAAGAGGTAAGAATGCAAGCTGCAGTTCCATGAAACAGGAGTTCAGCTGACCTAAAACTTCACATTGCCATCCCATTACCCTTTCCTCCTCCTTCTTTCTGCTGCATCTTAACCATTATACACTTTGAACCTATCAGCTAACTCAATCAAAAACACAGCAGAAGCAGATAATCTTCTGCTGAAGTAGAAAAGAGGTTGAGAGGGCTGAGGGTTGATAAGCTGGCAGAGCAGAGATGCAGAAAAAGCAAGGCCTGCCTCCCAAAAACTGCAAGGGACCACATCACTGGTTTCAAGCTGCAGCATAAGGGTTTGGTTTCAAGAGATATGATGAGGCAAAATAAACAGCTCTTCAACAGCCAAGTAGCTCTCACAACCCTAGTATTTACTCTTTGCTTTAACACAGTAAGTTGCTAAGACAACATAAAGCTATCTGCTCTCCCTCCATCACTGCCAAACTCTTCTGTCCATTATTAAAAGCCAAAGCAATGCAAGAGGAGGGACACCTGCACTG